TATATCTTCTATCAGCTTGAATTGCAAACTGAAGCACAATAAAGTATTATCAAGTCCAGCAGTTCATTAATCATTGAAATGGAGGTGGAGGAGGAGAGACTTCACTCATTATAAAAGATAAATGAACACGAGGTTAAAACACTGGTCTCCATCAGTCCGGATGACAACACGACACGCGTTGGGACACAAGAACATTGAGAGTGAGATGAGATTATAGGCACTGGAAAATCAGTAAAGGTGTTCCGTTCCTTAAGTAGAACAGTTTTCACTGTCAGCATTTTTTTTTTTTTTTTTTTTTGCAGCATAAGGCAAGTCATTGGACAACAGCGGTGTATAGTGAATAGAGATGGGTTGTGGCTGGAAGGGCATTCGCTGCGTAAACACACACACACACACACACACACACACACACACACACACACACACACACATATATATATATATATATATATATATATATATATATATATATATATATATATATATTCACTGTCCACTTTATTAGGTACACCTTTCTAGTACCAGGTTGGACCCAGTTTTGCCTCCAGAACTGCCTTACAGCCAAACTCTTGTTCCACCACATCCCACAGGTGCTCTGTTGGACTGAGTTCTGGTAACTGTGGAGGCCATTTGGGTACAGTGAACTCATTGTCATGTTCAAGAAATCAGATTTGCGCTTTACGACCTGGCATGTTATCGTGCTGAAAGATGGGAAGATGGGAATACTGTGGTCATAAAAGAATGGACATGGTCAGCAACAATACTCCGGTAGGCTGTGGCATTGACACATTGCTCAATAAGTACTAATGGGCCCAAAGTATGTCAAGAAAATATCCCCACACCAATACACCACCACCACCAGCCTGAACCATTGATATATGGCAGGATGGATCCATGCTTTCATGTTGTTGTTGCTAAATTCTGACCTTACCATTTGAAAGTGGCCATTCTCCTCTGAGCTCTGGCATTAAAAAGCACCCACAGAACTGCTGCTCACTGGATATTTTATCTATTTGTACAATTCTCTGTAAACCCTTGAGATTGTTGTGCGTGAAAATCCCGGTAGATAAGCAGTTTCTGAAATACTGACCAGCCCGTCTAGTAAAAACAGCCATGCCACATTCAAAGTCACTTAAATCACGTTTTCCCTATTCTAATCCTCGGTTTGAACTGCAGCAGATCGTCTTGACCATGTCTACATGCCTAAATGCATTGAGTTTCTGCCATGTGATTGGTTGATAAGAAATTTGCGTTACCGAGCAGCTGGACAAGTGTACCTAATAAAGTGGCCTGTGAATGTGCATATGATAGATGGATGGATGGATGGATGGATGGATGGATGGATGGATGGATGGATGGATGGATGGATGACTGGATGGATGGATATATGGGTGGATGGATGGATGGTGATGTGTTCAATACTTATTTTCCCCGCTGTAGCTGTGTGTACTCAACAAACATCTTAAATAATACACCATTTCCAGGAAAACTTTACAGTTTTGTATCTCCAACAGCAGAAAAAGTGCCAGAGGCTTGACTAAAAGTCGGGCCGCCTTCATCATTTAATCGCTGAATGCATTTTGGACGGCTGTCTGATCTCAACAGTGTCTTCAGTTTTTAAGAGTCTCCGTCACCTGTCAGCTTGCCATCTGTGAGCTCTGATTTAGCGCCAGCAGGACGATGGCGGTTAGGGCACTCTGTGTAATTCAGAGCTGTCCTTAGATCTGTCACATTAAACGTGTCCTCGCCAGACTCCACACAACAGTCTGTTTAACAAAAAGTGGCAGCCAAACTTGCATCTAGGATGGCGGAGCTCCAGGAGGAAGCATGAGATTGACGGCTGTTTCAGGGTCAGTGCAACAGACTGTTTTAAATGAACCATGTGATTCGCATACTGTAGGGTGTGCTCGAAAGATGCACTCCAGTGTAGCGGTGCTAATTTTGAAAGCAGATCTTGATTTGGTTTTAGTCTTACTCTTTGAATATATTTAGTTTATCATATTTTAGTCTTCTAAAAATCATTGTAGTTTTGGTTGACTACACTTTTAGTTCGATTTTAAATCTACTCTACATTTACACTGTAAAAAGTAATCACTCAATCTACTTGAAGCATGCTTGTAAACTTTACAAATTTTGGCAAACTTGGTGAACTTTAACATGGATCCAGTAGATAAACTAAACAACTTTGGTAAACAGTTCTGAAGTTCATCAAGTTAGTTCGACTAAAGGTTGGAGCCGTCTAATAGCACAAATTGGTCAGCAGGTGGAGTATGATCTGCACATGGCATAGTTTCAACAAAATACTGGAAATACTCCTCAGAGATTTTGGTCCATATGGACATGATAGCATCACATGAAGCATGAAGCGAAACTCTCGGTCCACTACATCACAAAGGTGCTCTATTGGATTGAGATCTGGTGACTGTGGAGACCATTTTTGTACAGTGAACTCACTGTCATGTTCAAGATAACAGTCTAAGATAATTCGTGCTTTAGACAGACAGACAGACAGACAGACAGAGAGAGAGACATACATACAGACAGACAGATAAAGGTTGAATGTAATGACAAGCACAAAACCTGAAAACTGAAAACTTTTCTAAAACATCTAGTTTCTAAAACATTTCCACTAGTGATTTAGTATTTCTTTATATATATATTTTACTAATGCTGCTCAAATTCATCATTAATATACTGACACAGAAACATATATTTTGTACTTATGTAAATTATAAAACTATGATTAAGTTTGATGTCTCCATTCATATTCACAGAAGCAGCAAAGGTTTATTTATTTATTGATTGTGGATTTTACCCATTAGTGAATCAATAAAATAAACAATCAACACCTTTGAAAAAACTGTGTAGCATAGAATTCAAAGAATGCATTCATAGAATATGAGTAAAAGCCGGTCTCTGCATACGGTCTCAGCATTAAGCTTTTAAATGGTAAAAGTCAGTTTAATCATCTCAAATAACATTGCTTTGGATTCATATAGGGCTGCTTGATATTAGAAAAATCCGACATTGCGATATTTTGTATTTTTGTGATATATAATTGCGATTATAATACAATTTTATCAGATGAATTGAATAGCTATTTTGGAAACAATTTTATAATTTTCAATGGATTGGTATGATTTTGAAAGGGAACAAATCATGAATGAAATGTACAGTAGTATGTAAATATAAGATAAATAAACAGTGCTTTATGGTTTTCAGGGTGTAGTCAAATTGTATTCAGATACAGAAATTGAAAAAAGCCCAACTTAAAATAATATTGCAAAGACTTTACTGTTCAAACAGTTTAATGAAATTATCTTCGATTAAATATTGTGTCTGAATGCTCTTCAGTGTTTAATGGCAAATGCAAGCTCTACACATCTAGTTTTACGCTGTATTAATGTTTTTAAGTAAGATTTATTAACAAAATATATCACAGAAGCCTGGTATTTAATAAAGAATTTTTTTAAAAAGAAGAAAAAAAAGAAAAAAGAAGAAAAGAAACAAATTTAATAAAGAAGTTCTTGATGAAACTTGGAATGAATGTCTAGAAAAGATGCATGATTGTTCAATAAATGCGACATTCATTCATTCATACATACATTCATTTTTTTTTGGTTCAGTCCCTTTATTAATCTAGGGTCACCTCAGCGGAATGAACCACCAACTTATCCAGCACATGTTTTACGCAGCTGATGCCTTTCCACCTGCAACCCATCCCTGAGAAACATCCATACACATTCATTTACACTCATATACTACGGACCATTTAGCCTACCCAATTCACCTGTACTGCATGTCTATGGACAGTGGGGGAAACCGGAGCACCTGGAGGAAACCCACAGGGATGCAAGGAGAACAGGCAAACTGCACACAGAAATGCCAACTGACCCAGCCAAAGCTCAAACCAGCAACCTTCTTGCTGTCAGGCGACACCACTACCACTGTGTCGACACCCGAGAGACAGGATAACACAATTTAAAGTAATTCATAGGAAGTATGATTCGAAAACTAAACAAAGTAAAATATTGAATTCTATTTCCCCTATCTGGAACAGATGTAAAGTAGAACCATATGTTTTGGTTTTGTCCTAAACCAGGGGTGTCCAAGCTCGGTCCTGGAGGACCTGTGTCCTGCATATTTTAGTTTCAACCCCAATTAAACTCACCTTAACCAGCTAATCAAGTTCTTTCAAGGTTTACTAGCTTCCAGACAGGTGTGTTAAGGGAAGTTGGAGCTAAACTATGCAGGGCACCGGCCCTCCAGGACCGAGTTTGGATACTCCTGTCCTAAACTCTTTAATTTCTGGAATTATATCTATGATTACTTTGACCATTGTCTTGCAATTCTTGGATATTCTGACATTAGACCGTTTTCCAAAATCCCAGAAATATCCCCATTTGATAGGCCTAACTCTTGCGGAAAAAAAGGATACTTTTAAACTGGAAAACTTCTGATCCTCCATATTTCAAAGAGTGGATGGGTGAAATGTAACAAGTCATTCAGCTGGAGAGGATACACTCCTCGGAACTAAAACCTCAACACTAATTTCAAACTGTATGGCAACCTTTTCCAAATTCCCTCAAAACTGGTTAGTACTATGTCAATGATTTGTTGGAACAAATAATCATACTCTGATAATAACATTTTAAATTATAATTGATTTGATTGGTAAATAAATACCCCCATTTGTTTGTTATTAATTCACTTAAATTAATTTATTTTTATTTTCTGACTTATCGCTAGGGTAGCTATGTTTATACCAGTGTATTTCTCTAGTACCTTTTTTTGTATTTAAAAGAGAAAAAAGCTTCAATAAAATGTATAAAAATAAAGCCCAGAACAGTTTTAAAACTGAAAAAAATTAAAAGAATTGAATTCGACATGATTGAATAGAATTTGAGAAAGAATTAAACATTTCATAGGGTCCAACAGCTTAGGTAAGAAGTCATGGCACAGCCATGAATCTATTTTTTTTTTTTTGTATGTACACTAACCTGCTAAGTGAGAAGGACACGCAACAATGACAGCTTTACAAGAGACCGTGCCTGCAGATGTCGTAACTTTTATGTTCTCTGAATCCTGTAAGAGAAAAGTATATTAGAATTGATTAAAAAAATTGAAACCCAACACAGATCGCTATTGTGAGGTTTCAGCTACCTGAAATGCCAAGGACAATAACACAATGACATGCTGTGGACAAAACACGTAGACTACGATATAACACAACTGTTACATGAACTTTATTGGTCCTTGCATGGGGGGTAATTTATTAAAGTTTAGGTTTAAGATGAGGAAGACATTCCGCACATATATCCAGGATTTAGTGAAAAAGAAGGCATGCTCATATTCAGAACATAATGAATACATTTTTAATCAAATCTATGATAGGTATGTCTCTTCAGTGAAAGTTATGTCAAGACAATTCACCTTTCGTTTATTTATAAAGCACACCATATAAATTTTTTTTCCAAGGCAGCCTCTCTATAATAATCAATATAACCATCATCAAATATGAAACAGATTCCTCTCTAAAGCAGCTCCTAACATACGCTAATGCCATTAATTAGTTCAATATTAGTTGGTTCAAATCGGTTCAAAGCTCTACAAAAGACAACAGTGTTGTTATTCACTAAAAAAAATGTTTCAATCTTTATTAGTAATATTTTTAGATTATCAATTTCTCAAAGCTTTCGCAAATAATCCTCACTGCTGACCAGATATAAATGAATACATGATGTTACAGTATGTACTGCACGACCTCCAAAGGCACTATAGAAAAATGTGTAACTTTGCATAGATTCCTTTAATAGATAACTATTATCAATGGAGACTGACTACTAAATAGCTACTAAATAATCACCAGGAGGTTCAGAAATGTTAAAAGTGCCGTAGGTGATCTGCCAAAATGCTAACTGTTAGCATGATAGCTTTGAAAATACAATCCCTTCCGTCCAAAGCCATGCCTCCTGAAATCACGAACGTGCACCATAAAGATAGCAGTTAGAAAACTTTATAGTACTTTATGTTACTTCAATTCTGAACAAGAAACTATATTATATCTAGCACATTTTCAGTTGTGTAGCAAGCAAAACTTGTCATATGTGCAATTTTTCATGCATGCAAGGATTGCTGGTCTTACTTTCTCACAAGCCTTGTCCTAAATCCACTATGCAGTGGTTGGCTGGTGGCCTGCCGGAATTACACTTATTACTAAGCCATACTTACAAGCATAGTAAACAATATCAGGAGGGCATTACAGGTTGTCATTGTTGAAAAATGAACCAATGTAATGTGGATAAAAAACCAAGTTCACCACCTCAGTAAAGCAGGCTAGGCAGAATAGTGCTATTTACTTATAAACTATACAAATCTAGATTGCATCTACATTAACGATGCTGTAAAAGGCACTTTATGAAATTAAAAAATAGTCACATCAATCTTTCGACGGAAGATTATAACACTTCTGTGCAAATAGCCCATTCATAAAACAACACAATCTACTTAAGCTTTGCGTAAATAAAATTTTTTTTAAAACATAACATCAGCCCTGGTGTCATCCTTCCTCCAGCATGTAAAAGTAACTCTAATACTGATTTGGGATTTTAAAAAGTTTTGATTCAGCATTTGTTTTTACGGTGGGTCTGTCTGTGTGAGCTGGTGCTCACATGTACAAATCAGCATTTGTTGACAGACAGTTTGGGATACTTATCATAAATATGGGAATTATTGGCCAGACAAATTTTAACTGGACTTATGCTAAATTTTATAAAGACAATCACTTACTGCACCTTTAAGCTGAGCTATGTGAACAAGGAAAACACTTTAAACCTGTCTTTAAACAGCTGGGTAATGCTTCTTACCCAAATCATAAACAAATAACAGATGGCTCTCTTAACAAGTCACATTTAGATGGATAATTTTTTTTTATATAAAATCATCAATAAACTTAAATTTATTATGAAGTTGTCCCTACATTACTGTTCAAAGGCTTGGAGCCAAGTTTTGTTGCTGTTGTTTCCACCTTTTTTAACGAATACTTTTGCTCAGCACCGATGCATGGATTTTAAAAGTGACATTAAATACATTTATAAAGAAAATATTTATACTTCTGTTTATTTTCTTTGAACTGTGCTTTCATTGATCCTAAAAGTATATCAGTTTATTTAAACATTGATTATATAGATATATATATATTTATTTATTTATTTATTTATTAAGGTTAGGTTTAATATTATTTCAGAAGGATCATAAGTCACTGACAAAACTGGTTTAATTATTTATGAAATGCAGAAAATTCCATTAGACAATAAATAAATTACAGTGCCTAGACTCTCATTGAATATGGACAATTTATTTTGTGAAAAAATGGCTTTAATAAACATTCTTTGAAACAATTTTAATATTTGTTACTATTCTTTACTATAAAAAATAACAACTTTGATTTCAAACCAGACAAACTGACTACACCTTACATCAAATTACAAGTAAATATAATATTTTCCAATAAGTTCTCCAGTTAATTACATTTTTTTTTTCATTTAAATGTCCATTTGTGGGAAAACTCCTCCTCTTATGAATATGTTGTAAGTTATCTTAGCCATGCAATTAAACTGAATATGCTAATAAAAACAAGGTCATCATGTTTCTCATTTAGATTCAGAGATATGTCTGCTATTTTAGCTTATTATGTCTTTAAATATAATATTGCCTACATATTTATATTTGACATTCATAACAGGACTTTGATAGTCAAAAATATTCTTATATTCAAAAAACTGCACCATGGGTGCTTCTGCTCCTTTACTAATAAAGTCTAATTATCAGAGCAGGATGAATAACATGTTATCGACATCCACTATACATTTCCCAGCTCCCCTTCACTGCGGTCCTCATAAATACATGAGATGGGTCAATGAGTACATTTTGATAAACAGTGGGGGTGAGTGAAACTTTCTACTCAGCCATGTCAGTATAACACCATTAAGATGGCTAATGGATTTTACCTCTCTATGTGTGAGAGCGACATCATAGACTAATTCCCCAACGTGAGGCTTTCAAAAGATTTTGTGTCACCAATTCTCAAATGAGAGCCATCTAATGGAGTGGATTTGATTTAGGTTATCTAAATATTTTAGTCATGACAAGCACTTCTGTATAATACAGGAATTAAAAAAAAAGCAGTGCAAACAAATGAAGAAAAAAAAAGCACACAGTGGGCCACATTTCTTGGTATCCTTACAGTGTGCGGTTTAAAGGAAAGGAAGTTATGAGTGGCGCCACTGGTGGAGAAATGCTCATTATTTCAGTGTCAAGCGTGCACTGATGGAGTCGTTACCTGACATATGGCCGTTACGGCAGCGCCAAGTCGAACTCGATCTGAACCGATCTGCTCCACCAGCATTTTTGACAGCTGCTGAGTGCCACCCTGTGGAGAGAGAAGACCATCACACCGATTCGTGCACAAAAGAGCAATATGGCAAGCTGTTTTAACATTTACAGTGTCCCTGTGGCTCAAACAGTAGTCCTCATGACCCACAGCTCTGCATATTTTCCATGTCTCTCTTATTTAACTCACCTCATTCAGGTTAACTGTTCATTTGAAGAGCTCCATGTATAAACTGTAGGTGTTTTTGATAAAGCATCCCAAAAGAGGGTTAAGTCCTCTCTGGATAATAGAAGCCTGAGAGCTGACATCAAAGATGTACTAGCTGCCTTGTCAATCATTTGTGGAGTTCCACAAGGAAGTATTTGAGGTCCATTATTTTTTTATTTTATAGATTAATTATTTAAAAGTAGCATGTTCAGTGGAACTATATCTTTATGATGATGATGCCATGATTTTAGTATTTCATCAAGACAAAAATCCCTGCAAGAAATCATGAGTTTATAGTTAAAAATGTGTACAACTGTTTTTTTTTTTTTTTGGATAACCAACTATTGTTACACTATAGATAAAACAGGGGCTATATTTTGCTTCATGAATAAAATTAAAGGAAGATGTGGTACTTTTGTGGTTAGGATTAATGATTTGAGTCAAGAAAATGTTGTAAATGATTTGAGATGTTTAATATATATTGAATTATCAGGAGATGTTATGGCAAGAAAGGTTTTTACAAAGATATGTGGAAAAATTAAAGAGCCCCTATTATAAATGTTTGAAAATGACCTTTCATGTAATGTGTAACAGCTGCAAGTTAAGTAAAATATCAAGCTAAGGCTTAAATATGAAAGTGGACAGTGTTTAAAACTATGGATTCATCTATAAAAGAGTTAACTGATAGAGCTTGAAATGAATCGTCTTGAATCAGCGTGACGTCGATAACACAAGCCCCGCCCAACTGTTGCAAACGTGCAAATAGGTTTGAATAGATTGAAATAGATTTAGTATTAACCCCTTCAGACCTGAATTTTGTTAAAAATTTCAGAAAAATGGGATGTCATGTGATGTCCATTGTAATGGACGCACTGTTTTTAAATTAAATGTAAAAACGGCTTGCCATACCCAGCACATCACCTTCTTCCACACATCTGTGCTGTGGCACGACGCTCCACTGAGTTTCTTTTCTGCCACAGTGATTCTGAAATGACTTTCAAAATATCTGGTTTATGAAAAAGTATCACGCTGGGGTGACAGATTTGTTTTGTTTTATGAGAGTATGAGTTGCTTTGCGTATAAGATGCAAATATGTATCAAAATTATATGTAGTGCTTAACGGTTGGAGTTAAAAGGCAGACCTAATCTGGTAGAAAGATAAACAAAACAGTTAAGAAAGAAAGTAGGTAAAAGAATGACAGAAGATAAAAGCTTTACAAAATGAAATCCTTTACTCTTTCACCTAAATTAAATTGCTGATATTATTATTGTGATTGCACAATTGAAAGATAGCTCCCATAACAGCCAATTTATCAAGGTTAATAATTAAATTGATGAGTATTTTTGATGCAACTTGATTTTATTTATAATATTATTTATTATTGTTGCTGTTATTATTATTTTATTATTTTTTTATGATTGCACATACAAAACATAGTTCAGCCAAAAATGTAAAATCATTTTAATGTTTTTGTGCTTTTTTTTGTCATTCTAAACTCTTATAAAGATTTTACTTGGAACATAAAAACTATATTTTTTAAAATTATTAGTAGTAGTAGTTGTTGTGGTGGTGGTATAGTAATAAATCTCATTATATTAAATAAACCTCATAATAATTCAAATATATATATTTATTTAAAGTCAAAATTATTAGCCCCTCTGAATTATTAGGGGCTAATAATTTTTTTTCCTTACAATGGTGTTAACATTTTTAAAACAGCTCTTATTCTAGCCTAAATAAAACAAATAAGACTTATTCCAGAAGAAAAAATATTATCAAACATTCTGTAAAAATTTCCTTGCCCTGTCAAACATAATTTGGGAAATCTTTAAAAAAAGAAAAAAATAATTCAAAGGGAGGCTAATAATTCTGACTTTAACAAATATTCAACATTTATGTACAGCTGATTAAATCATTATAAAACTGGTTAGTGACTTTCTAAGTCAAACTCTCTCTTTTGTATGTTGTAGTGCTATATTTATACCATATAATTGTAGTTTATTGAGTGTGAGGTGGGACTCCTATATAAGGAATCCCGATTACAACACAGAAATACTGGAAAATGTCCCTAGACTGATGGTATTTCATGCTGTTCAGTCCTATAATTTTAAAATGTCAGCAAAATCACCCGTTTTGTCATCACTTTAGACATTATACTAGAGAATCATTCAAATACTAGCTCTAAAGAGATGTCGGTGAAGTAGCAATGGTTTCTGCTCTTCTGATGACAGCCGCAGATGTGAAGAAATGCTGGAAGAAAGTAGTTCCTCATACAAAAGCATTTTAGACAATTGTGTTGGCTTTTCTTTTTTATATACATGAACATGCCGTTGAAATTTTGTATAAATGCAATATCACACTCAAAGCAATGTATGATGGCTGTATATCGTCACTAGTGGGACACTTAACGCATGCCTCCCACCAGTGCTGATATACAGCCACATTGGACATTGGATTTTTTTTTTTTTTTTTTTTTTTTTTACCTAATCTAAATACATCACATATAAAAAAAAAAAATAAAAAAAAAGTCTGACAGCCAAACTTCCATGTTTGTTCTCTGTTTTGACAAAGAAGTAATGATTAGAAAGTAATGTATGGCTTTCTGAAAGGATGGATCAAAAAATCAGATCTTATCAAAGCACTTTGAAGCAACATTAAAGCACAAATGCAGAAAGTCAAACACTGAGCAACATAGAAGCCCACGATATAGAAAGACATCTTGTATGTATTTCCTTAAATATCTTAACATATTTTGACTGAATAAAGAAAGTATTCTTGGATGACAAGGTGGTGAGTAAATGATCAAGTTATTCCTAAAGTGAGCTAATTATTTAATTTTTATGTTCTAGGAAGTGACATGTATGTATGAAAATGTAGGTATGTCTCCATGAACAAGGTAGAGACACGCATACTTAAAACAACTTACCATTACAAAATCAATGATTAACTGGGTTATTACACATCTGAAAGTGTGCAAATAGCAACAGCTGATAATGTGAATGATCTTTGTATCAATCGTCCACTTATCAGTCTGTCTCTCACCTTGACTCTAAACTCCTGTCCAGATCCAGGTGAGGTTTCTAAGAGGCGAAGGGTGCCCCCTGCTGCAGCGGAGTACAAGAGGAAAAACAAAAAGGAGATCTGGGATGTTTCCAAACCAAACACGATACGACTACAGACGGCCAGCTCCTCTTTAATATCTGCAGGGCAAATAAGGACACAATGTAGAACATGAATGGAAGTAAATAGGCTGAATTGCACAATAGACTGAGATGAAAATGCGTTAAATGAACAGAACTCACCTTTGGTCCAGATGTTTTGCTCCATAAAGGTGTAAAGTGTCATGCTGTCATAGAGCTCTGCATTTGGGGAACTCATGGGATCTTCAACTGATATGGTCTTAGTGAGCTTGTCGACCTAAAGTATAAAGCAGACAATATACAGTATTTGAAAAGGATGATTTTAGCACATGTCAAAGTTTATAATAATCATTGTGACCAAGCTTAGTGAAAACGGAGCAGGTAGCATGTAAATAAATCTAAACATGTGCTTCTGGTTTCATAGTGTTATATACTGTATACATATAGTTTCTGATAAAGTGTTTCACACATGTAAATACATGTACAATGTCATCAGTCTGTAATCACAATAGGCTAAACGCATAGCTAGTGTTTCTTCTCATACCAATTAAATTCCGTAAATACATAATGTGACTTCATTTTACAGCATCGATGTTGTAATCTTCAGCATTCATTTGTTCAAGTGTAAAATGAAACGAAAAGCCAATTACACGCACATGCCTATCAGCATCAACAGGCTAGCGCATAAATTCCATTGAAAAAAACTGGGATAAAACAAATGTTCATATTTTAAAAACACTACCCAGAAAAATGTTGTTTAGTGCTGTGATTCTTGTGCATTCTGATAACCACTTTATATTGTTTATCATTCAGGCAGTGAAGAAAAATTATTTTTGAAGAAAACAGACCTTAAACCACAGATTTTGTAACGGCATACAGTTAACCGGAATAATTTGACCCAGGTTACTAAAAAATTAGAAGCCATTTTTCTTCATTTACCCTATTGTTTATTTATTTATTTATTACTGATATAAACCTGATAACCTGATATAATGACCAGATGAAATAAAAGCTTAATGGGTGCTCCTGTTTCCCCCACAAGTCCAAAGACAAGCGGTAAAGGTAAAGTGGGTAGGCTAAATTGTCCGTAGTGTATGAGTGTACATGAGTGTGTATGGATGTTTCCCAGAGATGAGTTGCAGCTGGAAGGGCATCCGCTACATAAAACGTGCTGGATAAGTTGGCATTTCATTCCGCTGTGACGACCCCGGATTAATAAAGGGACGAGGCCAAAAAGAAATAAATGAATGAATATATATAGTTGAAGTCAGAATTATTAGCCCCCCCTTTGATTTTTTTTTCTTTTTAAAATATTTTACAAATGATGTTTAACAGAGCAAGGACATTTTCGCAGTATGTCTAATAATGTTTTTTCATCTGGAGAAAGTCTTATTTGTTTTATTTCGGTTAGAATATATATATATATATATATATATATATATATATATATATAATTTTTAAAAGTAAAAGCACTTCTCAACAAAATCACCCCAATCATTCCTGATTTACTAATTCTTTCAAAATAAATATTATCAAATCATCTGATCAAACAAAAGGTATTTTCTATTTTCTTATCACATTACACATTCCAAACCAGCTATATATCAACAAATAATCTCAAGCTATTTAACATCCAATAATATCCTAACAGTAGCAACGTTTTCTTTTTTTACAGTTGATCTTAAAACGATCATAATAATAAAAACTAAGAAATTGTAAGACTGAAGAAACCTATTAATCAACTCAATGCTCTTAAGAATAGCAGCTAAAACGTTTTATTGCATCCATATGCATTCAAGTGATCTATAAGATCTATTGCGCAAGCTAACATGTATCTTAAAAATAGCATAGAACCTAAGGTATGCATTAAGATATGAAATGATGACTATTACTCACATCCTGATTCTCATTAAAGAAAGACTTATTCTATTGCAGACTGGCACTTTGTGCAGTTTCTCTTACCTTCCACATAACCTGAATGAAGTCCAACATGACTAGAGGAGAGAATTGCGGGACGGTGGTGTTGTACATTTTGATTTTGGCATTCGGGCCACCTATGTGATGGACTTTCTTGCCCTCTGTATATTGGGTAAAGACTTCAACACCAAACTCTTTGATGAGCTCCATAACATGGATCTGCGAGCTAATGGAAATAAAAAAAAAGGAAAAAGTAAATCATGAGAAACTGTTTCTGCACATATTCAGTTGCCTAAAGATGCTTAAAATGTGGCTTTCCAATGACGGATAAAGGAACATCAGTAATTTTGTTGTTTTTATTTATTTCAGTTTGGGCAGATAAATAAATGAAAAATATAATAAAAATGTTTTAAATAATAGTTTTTTTTTTTACTTTTTTTTTTACAGTAAATACATTTTTGATGGGATGCTTGAACTTTATTTATGACATTTTGCACAAAGGTATGTTTCAGCCCATCAGTTTTCAACACTAATAATAATAATAATAAACATTTCTTTAGCCACAGATTGTAATATTAAAATGATTTTGAATGTGTGATGCACGGTGCACTGCCTTGCTCTCTGTAAATTGTGTATAAACCTTTTCCTAACCCAAATTCTCAGATGAGCTCTATAATATGCGTCTCCGAACTGAAAGAAGTAAAAAAAGTAAATCATAAGTACAAGTCATCATGTTTCTGCAGACATTTAGACGCCCGCTTCAAATGAGCTTTTGTGTGATTTGATGAAAATCCTGCTCAGCCTCGTCTAAAGCGAAGGCTTTTAGAGCTGCAGGCAACGGCCGGTTATTGATCTCTGCGGACTCTGAGTGAAACCCTGGGTATTTTTCTAATAGTTTGGATAGTGGATTACAGCAATAAATGCTTTGCTTGAAAACACATCTGCTGTTTGTAGGCTTAAACAAGCTTCTGTGATGTTCCAATTATCACAACTCAAGAAAAAAAAAAAAACTGCAGGAAGCCAGGAAGTTTGGTTAAATTAAACAAATGTGTGTTTTTTCAAAAGCCTGATCGCAGTGTGATCATGCTATTAAATGGATATTGGGTAATAAGCAAACAATATTGTACAGTTTCTGTACTCTTCATTGACAGGGATCAAAGGTGAAAGGGGGCTTTCAAACTTCAAAACAATGAAAATGTAATAAACAAGAATCATTTGATGACACATTAATAGATTATATTTAAGGGACAATTCAACCAAAAGTAAACAAATATATCCACTTTTACTCACACTCAAGTGTTATTAAGGCTTTATGAGATTTTTTATTTGCTGAACACAAAGATATTCAGAAAAAAGCTGAACATGTAATCATTGATATCCATAGCACACTCTCAGAAATAAAGGTACAAGAGCTGTCACTGCGTGGTACCTTTTTAAAAGCAACACATTGTACCCAAAGGGTCCCCATTAATACCTTAAGAGTACATATTAGTACCTAAAAAGTACAAAAGTGTAGCTCTTAAAATGGTTAGGTACAAATATAAGCATTTGAGGATTATGAACCCTTTAATTACAAATGTGTATCTTTTGAAAAGGTACCACCCCAGTGGAAGCTCGCAAACCTTTATTTCCGAGAGTGTAGGAAAAACGAATGTATGCCAATGGTTTTCACCTTTCTTCAAAATATCTTTGGTTGTGTTCAACAAATGAAAGAAACCCAAACAGATTTGGAAGGAAGAGTAAATAATGACAATTTTTGGCTTTTTAAAGATCACAGTCCAGCACAAAAAAAATCCTAATTAAAGGGACAGTTCACCCAAAAGTAAAATAAAAATGGATTTTGAATGTTGGAAACCAGCAACTGTTGTATGTATCTATATTAGGAGAAATACTTGTCAATGGCCACTGGCTGCCAACATTTTTCAAAAGCATATTATTTTGTTTCAACAGATTACAAAAAAAAAAAAAAACAGAAGAAACTCAGACATGTTGTGAACAAATGGAGGATGATTAAATGAATAAAGAATTTTAATATTTGAGTAAACGATCCTTTTGTTTGTCATTTTAAGTCAATCTGCCTAGCCCTAAATCTTAAATCCTTTTTCTCAATTTGTAATGTTTTTGATTGTTTAAAATAAAATAACATGAGTATTTCTTCTTTTAGATATTTTATTAAGAAAGCTATATGGGCCAGAATAAGTAGCAGTAGTGTGTGTGCGTACGTGTGTGTGTGTGTGTGTGTGTGTGTGTGTGTGTGTGTGTGTGTGTGTGTGTGTCAGTACACTTTAAAAATACTAGACACTGTGCTGTTTCAAAATGCATATTAGGTTCATTAGCAGCTTCTGCACCTTTCTTCTTTCCTAAAGGCGTAGGCAGCTGACAACCACCTAAATTCAGCTCAGCTGATTAAATCTGTGCTTACATTAAACATAGGCCTATCTACAGTATAGCTACACTTTGACCATGAAACAAGAACATTTTAAAACTGTGTTTGTGCAAATGTTTCTGTTGCTCGACTGTTTTGCAGTCAAAGAAAGCGTTTAACAAGAAAAGCAAACATTTATTTTGATGTCATAACATTTACTGCACCATAAAAACTAGGTGCTGTGAATGACAGATGCCCAACCCACCACAGATGACGCAAAAAACAGTGTGGATAAAATACAGTAGCATAGAGTTAGCGTTATACACACAAATCATGCGTGGATTTTAATGGTAAAAATCAGGAGAACATGGGTCAAAGTCTTGTTTTATTTTGCGCTATCTTGTATTCTACCAGCATGCGATAGTGTAGGCTATCTCACGCCAAATGCGTAAGACTTTACAAGCTACTGCACAATGTAACAGCCTGACATTAGAATAAACCTTACTTGCTTTATAATGTTTACAATGCAAAATCATCACTAGTAAAACTTGGAAAGCTTACTGTACCTGGACACCCACTGTCCACCCATGTCCCACTGCTCAACTCCATTGGCAGCTGGCAGGTCTTCGCTTACAGTTCGCCCTCCGACACGGTCTGCAGAAAATAAGAAAACAAGAAAAACGTAATGCATATGTATGTCTCGTATAACACTGCAGACAATTTATATTTTGTATAGACTAAACGAAAAACAAAACTTAGCACGCACCCCTGGCCTCCAGCACGAGCACACTGAGCCGCGGGTTTCTCTTCTGCAGCCGCCGAGCAGCGCTCAGTCCGGACAGGCCCGCGCCGACGACAACCACATCAAACTGATCCTCACTCATTCCTGCAAGCTGCGAGCAAACCGAGAGAACTGTGGTGCACGGGCAGATAAAACAACTAAAATACCCTACAGAAAAACTGCAGAGTCACAAAGGGGGAAAGTCCTGTTTTATAGTGCACACTTGTTGCGTTTCTTGTGAATGTACTTGGCACTTCGCCCTGATAAAGCAGGCTGACCGCTGTTTGTTGTCTGCTCTGGGACCCCGGAAGAATTTCTCAGACTTCCCACTTGAGTTAATCGGAATTTTCTCACGGTTTGGACTGCTTTTTTATATAATAACCACAAAAATTGATACTTGAATGACTTTAAAAAACAGATTTGATTGGACTTGTCAGCAATATTAAAGGACAAATGTAAACAAAATGTTTACACTGTTACACCTATTTTAAAAGTTTAGCAAATATAGGCTTAGTGACCTTGCAACTCAATCCTTGTAGAATGTATAATGGGAATTGCATTTGTTTTCATGAAAAACTGCATGCATGGGCTTCTAGTTGAAATGAAAATGAAAAATGGGTCCAGACAAAAAATTCAAATGTTCTGGTTTTATTGGTTAACATTTGGTATATGTAATGAAAACTATTTAAACTTTTATTTTCTAGCAGGGATGTCACACCTATTCACTTTGGTTCATTTCTCAAATCATTCATACTATTTTTTAAATCAAAAATTTGTTCTTGAAGTAAGCAAACAGCAAAACTTATTTGAAATCAGTTCATTTCTCAAACTAGGCTAGTACATATGCTCATAGGATGTACGAGTACTGTACCTGTTCTTTCTACAAATTATCTGCATGATTAAGGACATTTAGTTGCATCATTTGACTATTTGCTCATATACAACACAATGCCATAAGAACATTATTCATGGTTTCTGCCTCTTTACATTTAGCCTCTTTACACTTTATAATTAAATAATTTTTTAAAAATCTTTAACGCATTCCCTTGGTTTAAACATAAACACAAATTTTGTTTTCTTTATATTAAAAAATGAATGTACAATAAATGTAAATGTTATTTAAGCCAAAGGTTTCAAAGAATTGCATTTTTACAGTTTACCTTCCCAGCAGGCACCTTGATGTCAAAACAATAAATTTGATTTTGATGTCAATTGACTAAATTGATGTTGTAACAACATCATATTGACATCTAACATTGGCATCAAAAACATATGAACAATTGATTGAGAGGGGTCTGGATGCAGACCTGGTGCAGATGCAATCTGAGTTGCATGCAATGCTTTTCAATGGACTTACCCTACCCACCCCTAACCCTGATGTCACTAAAGCTCTATTCAAGAGCTCTCTATTGCACCATCAAGGCTGCATACTATTAAATTGATTAAAGTATCGTCCTGTAATCAATTTTTGATACCAACACTAGCTGTCAATTTAATGTCCTATGACAACAAGGTAATTCACATGCATTGTAGGGATACAAAATCTAGTGTATATTTAGAAGTGAGGCTGTTAGATAAATCAAACTTTATTGTATCAAAATACTTGTGTCTTTACTTTGGTGATCATCAAATGGACGTCAAGGTTTTGACATCAGATCGATTTGCATTGTTACATGTTTTTGACGTCAATGTGAATATGATGTCATTTTGACAATAAGATGACTGCTGGGATTTCTTTCCCAAAGGATTTTTTTCCTGAACTGCATAATTATAATTCCCATATGGTAACCATCACCACAACCTTACAGCATGTGAGTGGTTACAAGTCTCTTTCATGATCTTTTATTCTCAGTTTTATTCATGCTAACAGTTCTCATCATAATCATCAAATAAAGCATGGACAATTCCTACACAGTAGATAAGGTTGCAGCATCCTATTCAAGATTACAATGACAGCCACACTCTTTATTGTAAAGAGGCCACCTTTAGACGTGCAGTATGTTAACCTTGAATACTTTGCGAATTTAAGAGAGATCCTTTGTTTGCTTTGAATACACACAAATGCATTGAACAGTTGAAATAGTGAAGCGCTTCAATGATGTATTATTCAGTCCTTTGTTTTGTTTTTTCTGAGTGGTGTAACCAGTTGTCACCTGAGACTAGTCTCCATGGACCACATCACCATGGTACCACCTTCACTTGATACCAGAAGTGACTTGTTGTCTCACAGTGAAGCCATTCAGATGGTGAAGACTAAACCTAAGAGATGAACGGGCCCTCCATCTGTAAGTTTCTATTTATATTGTAGTTTTATCTCTGTTTTTATGGCCTATTTTTCTAGCACAGATAAACATTCACATAGAGGAACCAGTTGTTCCGGTCGATCAGCATAAAAAGCTGCAAAAATGTTTCTTGGTGTGTTGTATAAACATGGGGCTGGATAGATTTTGTTGAACAATGAGGTTGCAGGCTTTTAAAATAGCGTAGGAGGAAGAATTGAGTGTGTTACTGAAAGAAAAACAACACAAATGTGTTTATCTCTCACAGTGAGGCAGTAGACATTTTGCTTTGTGATTGAGAAGGAAATTGGGTATTTTTTTTTACTTTTTAGTGGGGTATTTAGTTGTTATATTTTTATGGGGACAAATTGTGGTTTTGGTCAGGCATAATTGTGACTGAAGATGTCAAAATCAAAAGGATTAATGGTGAGATTCAGTTAAAATCAAAGTCAAAATCTAATAGTATTATATAATAATGTTAAAAAAAATAATATTAACACTTATTGTTTTATTTCATATTTCATAAATATTTTGACTTTTTATGTGAAAGTTAAATATATATAATTTTAGACTTATTTTATAAGAATTTTTTTAAACATGAAATATTAATATTTACTAATATCATTTTGGGGTAATTTCTATCTAATATCATTTTAATCAAAACCAAGGCTTTTCTAATAATCTTTACTTTAATTTTACTGCTTTTCACTTTTTCACTTTTTACATTTTAATTAGAACTTATTATTTAATCACTTTCTTTACTTGCTTTACTCTTTTTTTCTCTTAGTTATGAATCAATGAATGAATAATTGAGTACAATGCATTTTGAAAATTTATATTTTAACCAATTTCTTAGTAAATATAGGCAATGTATGGTGCATTTAAACTAAATATATTTATTAACATATATATTTATTAAAATAATATTTTAGTCACCAAACATATTTAAAAAAAATAAGGATTATACAATTAAATTCTTGCTAAATATTGCAAAAAATAAAAAATAAATAAAAAATTGCAACCTACAAAATTTGTCCTCTTTTTTTTAAATTTGTATTTAAGATTTTTCTATATGTTATAGAATATAGAATAATAATATGTTTGGGTGCACTAGTTTTTGGACCATCATCATGAGTTATTTTGTTATATTAGCTCCAGATTTGGCTGTGAGTGGTGTACTTGTATATGCTGAGCACTGTAAAAATAAAGGGATAAAAATGTTGACCTTAAAATGGTGTTTTAAAAAAATTAAAAACTGCTTTTATTCTAGCCTAAATAAAACAAATAAGACTTTCTCCAAAGTAAAAATATTATCAGTGCAAAATTTCTTGCTCTGTTAAACATCATTTGAGAAAAATTTAAAAAAGAAAAAAAAAATTAAAGGGGGGCTAATAATTCTGACTTCAACTGTATATACAGTTAGTATACCTTTGAATTTATTTTCTTTTAACTCATTTAAACCATTTAAACTAATCATTTAATACATTTATTTTAACATTCTACTTAATTTACTAAACAAAATAAAAAATAACCTAAAAATGTAATGTATATCCATTCATGTATATTTGAATATATCCATTCCAATTTCTTTCTTCATTTTTAAATATTTTCCAAATGATGTTTAACAGATCAAAGAAATTTTCAAAGCATGTCTGATAATATTTTTTCTTCTGGAGAAAGGCTTATTTGTTTTATTTTGGCTAGAATAAAAGCAGTTTTTAATTTCTTAAACACAATTTTAGGGACAAAATTATTAGCCCCTTTAAGCTAAAAGTTTTCTTGATAACAGAACAAATCACTTTTATACAATGACTTGCCTAATTACCCTAACCTGCCTAGTTAACCTAATTAACCTAGTTAAGTCTTTAAATGTCACTTTAAGCTGTATAGAAGTGTCTTGAAAAATATCTAGTAAAATATTATTTACTGTCATTATGGCAAAGATAAAATAAATCATTTATTAGAAACGAGTTATTAAAACTATTATGTTTAGAAATGTGCTGAAAAAAATCTCTCCGTTAAACAGAAATTGGGGAAAAAATAAACAGGGGGGCTAATAATTTAGGAGGGCTAATAATTCTGACTTCAACTGTATATCACTATTGAAGCATTAAATAAAAGCATTTTCAACTATTTATTTATTAAGTATTACTTTAATCGTGAATCAAAAAAGAAGCATTCAAAGGAATCAAAAATAACATGTCTGTCCTTTTTTCAGTCTCTTTTCATTTCCAGGCTTAAGCGTGTTTCTTCAAGACTTCAATCTGCTGAATGGGAGAAAGTGGCACAAAAAGCCCTGTCCAAACATGAATGTACAAAATCGCTGCTGCAACAAAAGGTACTGAAAGTTCAAAATAGGGTCCTCAGCAAGACACGCTCATTATCTTCCTCACAGTCACTTTCAGTCGCACTCCTTTTCTCTCTTTACTTTCATCTTTCACAGATGTCGAAAATGGCCTTGCGTTACACGAACAAGTTTGTCCCCGTCGTCCTCATTTATGATATTGACTGTGTTCATCCTGTTTCTCATAGCAAGTAAGTTTCTTAGCAAAAAATAAACCTTGATGTACTTTGAAACTTTTTTAGATAAGCCAGGTTTACGCTGCACATTCTGCTAAAGTTTCCTCAATTATTCCTGAAACTTTTTCCTTCATCCAAGTCATGGATGTACGCTCTGTATATGATGGGATTTATTGAATCTAAATCCACTTATTAGTCATTTGGAGAGTTTCATTATAAGGGCTTGTGAATCATTCATGAGTCCATATGAAAGCAAGGAAAATGAGGGATTTTGGAATTACAGGCTAATTGAAATACTCATCTGGACGACATGCTGTTGAAATAAAAGCTGAATGACCTAGAAAAAACAGTCTTTCCGATGATAAGAGTTTATGTCATCTCAGCCTGGCTTTAAGATTCAATTTCACCGTTGAAGAAAAGTTTTGTTTCATCTTAATTAATTTAATGACTTAATGAAGATGTCTGTATTCTGAAAAACGAAAGAGTTAGCATTTTCAAAATAAACAACAAAAATCAG